ATATAGGGATCCAAATCCTTGGCCTTGGTGTTATCAGCACCACACTCTCCCAAGTGAGCCACGGGCCGGCTCTTGACCAGTTGTTCTTGCAGTGCTTATTGAATGGGTCTCCTGATTTGAAGTGCCAATATCATATATTAAATTCTAATATGTATTTGAATGTCTTCCTTGTCAGAATTTTTCCAAATATTTTCTGATTTTTATTTTTCCATGTGATGTTTAGAATCAGGTTATCTAAATCCCCCTCAAATTTTTGTTGATATTTTTATTGGGGTCATATTAAATTTATTGTTTAATTTAATCTTTCCTGAAATTTTATTTTTAATTTTTCCCCTAGACTTTAAGTTTTGCTTATTTTCTGAACCTTTGCGAGAGAATGGGTATTTGTTTAATTTAACAAGACCATGTTGGCAGGTTAGCTCAGTTGATTAGAGCCTCATACTAATAACACCAGCATCCCAGGTTCAATCCCTGTGCTGGCCAGCTGCCAAAAGAAAAAAAAAAAAAGACATTTATTTGACTATTTCTGTTACTTGCAGTCATGTGGTACAGGATGAGGCAAGAGTCACAGTACTATGGGCGTATATTCATAGTTAACTGCACTGAAAGAAAAACTGGCATCTTGTTTTTGATAATACTTCACACTACTTTAGTTAAGAGCAAATGACCAGAAATGGGAGGAGGGTGGGTAGTTCTACTCACTTATAAACTAGATAGAATGCCATACACTCTTTTTTTTTTAATACACATATATGAAATAACATTTATATCTTTTAGGTAAGCAAAATATGGTGGAGGTTTTAGGACAGGTTTACAGTTACAGAAAAATTGAGAAGATAGTATAGAGAGTTCCCACATGCCTTATACCCAATTTCCCCTATTATTGCCATTTTTATGTTAGTGTGGTACATTTGTTATAAGTGAACCAGTATTGATACTGGTTATTATTATTAACCCAATATTATACTTTATTCAGATTGCTTTTGTTTTTAATAAGTGTCCATTTTCTATTCCAGGAAACCACATTACACTTAGTTATCATGTCTCCTTGGGCTCCTAAGTCGTTTGGCAGTTTAAGTTTTTTAACATGGAAAAAACACCTAAACATATAATTTTTCTAAAAACTAGAAAATGTAAATAGAGTCGACAGTTTAGAAGTATATTGATGTTTTAACTTCTTTGATCATTTCTTTTGTGCATTTCAGGAGCTCTGTGAATG